GGTCGCCCGCCGCCCGCCCCGCGCCTCCGTCAGTCCGTGTGCCGCTCCGCCCGCCAGTCCGTCCGTCCGAGCCCCGCGCGCCTCGCCGCAGCCCGGCCACCCGAGCGCCATGAACCAGATAGAGCCCGGCGTGCAGTACAACTACGTCTACGACGAGGATGAGTACATGGTCCAGGAGGAGGAGTGGGACCGCGACCTGCTGCTGGACCCGGCCTGGGAGAAGCAGCAGAGGAAGGTCAGCCGGGGCCCGAGCCGCCGTCTGCGGGCCGCCCGGGTGTCCGCGTGTCCCCGTGTCCCGCGCCCCGCGGGGCGCCGGCCGTGCGCGCCGGCGAGGGGGCGCTCTGTGGCGGTGGTGTGTTGTCCTGCGTCCCAGCCGCCCCGGGGACCCCATTAGGAAGGAGACCGTGTCCAGGGACAGGCAGGACTCTGGGCGTCGTGTGCGCGCGCGCGCGTGTGTTAGTCACATAAGAGTTACAAACTGCAAGTGTTCGGGAAGAACGGTACCGTGTGAGTGTGTTTTGTTTCTCATACCAAGCTTCATTAGACGGAATCTCAGAGTCTCTGGTCTGTGATTGAGCCTTTCGGTCCCCGGCCTTGAGTCTTACCTTCCTGACCCCGTTGTGTCCACTTTTCCCCTCGCCTCTCTCTTCCCAAATAAAACAGGTAAAGTGAACATCTCCTTCCTTCCAGTTTTCCCAGGGCTGCCCCCCAGAGTCAGTGAAAGTCATTTATTAAATGTGTTGGGTCCCTTGGGGAAGGATGTCGTATGAACACTGGACATGTACCGATAAAGTAATAATTATTTCACGTTCTATTTATAGTTCATTGCGGTAAGCACACGGGGACGAAGGAGTCAGCCAGTTTCTAAAAGCTCCCTCCCCATTTTGGTTGGCACTCTCTGGAGGCCCAATGGAACATTCCACTGTTTCAAGGTTTCTTCTTGATCCCCTTGGCTAGAATAAACAGGGAATGCTCAGCCCGAGGCTAACTCTGTCCTCTTACTGGACTGGGCACAGAGCCTTGGTTGGGTCAGGCATGGACAGCAGAAACCTGCTAACCCTGCCTTATGATAATAGGGTCATGGCAAAAGCCAGGCGTTCTTTGCTTTTTTTATCCTTAATTTTTCTGGGCATGGGACAAGATGGATTTCCCATCTAAGGGCGTGCTTTTAAGTGGATAACTTGTGTTGACTGTAAGTGTGTATGAGAATTGCTGCGTAGTTACCACTACAGGTGACGTGTGATAGTATATGGTGACTACGTGTATGATGGTGAAGTAGTATCCCATACTTCTCTTCCAACAAAATGTTAGCTGGAAGGAGAGAGGCCTCATGTTTGGATAATTATCAAGTAACCAAGCACTATTTTTGCATCAGGATGTCTATTTGTCTAACCTCACACTTAAAATACCACTTACTGTTATTATTTTGAAGCTCTAATTTAGCTACATTTTAATTTCTGCCTTAGTTTCCTGAGGCTTCTACCATTTCTACCTTTCTTGGAAACAAGAGCATGGTGGTGATAAATAGAAGTTGAATCTATAAAGAAAAAATTTCAAACCTTCTGCAGATTTTTACAGACTTACTGTGAAGGAAGCAAATGGCCGAGGATTACTAATGTATCATCTGGGCCAGTTGATGCAGCACCAGGCAGCGAGAAGTTAAAAAGTGAATGATTTTGTCTTAAATTTTCCCCAAATTCTGATTACTACATTTTTATGGGTTAAACTCCTGAAGATTGCTTTTTTTCTTATAAGGACTGGTAAAGTAGCAAAGAAATTGGACAGGTAGTCTGCCCATCATTTTAAAAAGTAATAGTTTAGGGCAGTGCCTGTGGCTCAAGGAGTAGGGCATCGGCCCCATGTACCAAGGGTGGCAGGTTCAAGTCCATCCTCGGCCAAAAAAGTAGTAGTTTAATCACAGTGGTTTCTGTTGATATTTTAAAGTACAATACAATAGCCAGATGGAACTAATATCCATTTCCAGAAGCTCCATTGATATGTCTTACACTATATTCAATATTTTAATGTATTTGCTATATTTTTTGATAGATGGTATTGTAATTCTTTTAGGTTTGGGATTTCTGTGCTGACTACACTATTATAATTGTATATCACTTGAAGTAAAGTATATTATTTTAAAAAGATGTATTTCTTGATCCCAGTTCAAAGTAATGCTAAAAAGCTATATTCAAAGTAATGCTAAAAAGATGTATTTCTTGATCCCAGTTCAAAGCAATGCTAAAAAGCTTAAAGCGAGAATTCAGTTTGTTTTTTTTTTAAGACAGTTTGACTGTTGGGCAGAAAACCCCAAAAGTACATGAGAATACAGATCTTGAAGATTCAACTTGCTCAAGTCAGTAAAATGATATTGAACTGTGAGCCCAGTGCAGCCAGAGCAGTGGCCTCTATTTGTGTCCTATGAGACAAACTGTTGGAACAGGACAGGGATAAAATGCCATTGTTTCTATTGTGGGCTACCTTCTCCACACTTGCCATTTCAGTGATATGCTGGGTATGAGATCTGTCAACAGATGCTGGTAGCACACGATGACGTGTGTAGCGTTATAATGGCTGTGGTGCCTAATTATATCTACAGTTCAGAGAGTGTCATGGACTTTGGTAATCCTTGCTCTCCCGTGTGGAACAGCCTTGCTGCACGAGGACTTGTAATAGTGTAGCAGTGCTTTTTCTAAGAAGACAGTCTATTAGCACGACTATGAATAGGCATTTCAGAGTGCCCACCTCCTCTTTCCAGGGTGTGTTTAGTTAATAAGGCTAGTAATACTTACATTTTCTATTTTAAAAGATTGCATTTTACAACTCATGGGGAGAAGAAAAACTCCTACCGTGTTACAGATAGGACATTTTAAAAGGCTGAAAGAATGAGGCTCACTCTGGAGTTAGACTGCTTTACCATTTAGGGATATCAGTTTCCAAATAACTTGGGTTCCTTTCAGTGGACTGTTGAAACTTCTGGAGTATCGGTATCTAGAAGGAAGCTTCTCCAGGAACCAGGGAACACCCTGAGCCTTTGCCTCAATTGAAGCCTAATTGGGAGGTGACTTGTCAGAACAGCAATGCTGAATATGTGCACTATCTCCGCAAGCACAGGGCACTGTCCTCAACCAGCTGGGAGCTTAGAGCAGGCCTTTTAAGGAAATGAAATACACCTTTCAATCCACAATGGGTTGGTACCTCGGTAATCTGGATGTGGCTAGATGATTGATAAACTTTTCTGAGAGTTCTGATTTTTTGGTAATAGTCCCTAAAGAAATTTGAATTCTCCTGCATTCTTCTTAGGTTAGATGGCCTGGTTTACCTTGGAGCACCTCCTCTCTATCTGGAATAGGCTGATGGTTGCCAAGTCAGGTCAGCCAGCATGGACGGATGGGGCCAGCTGTCCACAGGGTCTGGAATGAGTAGAGAGCCGGGGAGCCTTTAAGTTGTCCTGCTAATGTTCTGTGGGGGAGCAGCTGCTGATTAAGGGCACCAGGCTTTTCTTACCTAATGAAACATACTCTTAAGTGAATATTTCCAGAGAGAAAAAGCACTAATTGTTTGTTCCAACAAGAACAATTAAGAAAAACCTTGAGAAATTTCTCAGATTTATGAGACCCAGGTGAATTTCAGCTCTGCCAGGTATTTGCTGATTGCAGTGGACTCGCTAAACCAGCGGTTCTCAACCTGTGGGTTGTGACCCACAGGAACTGTATTAAAGGGCTGAGGCTTTAGGAAGGTTGAGAACTACTGCACTAGACCTTTCAAGTCTCAATTTCTTCCTCTATGAAATGAAGATAAATTCCTGTCTTTCTTACTTGACAGGGTTTTATTTGGATCAAATGTTTAAAATGATTTTTGGTGAAGGGGCTTTATGCATTGTAAAATGATCTGTAAATGTTCAGATATTATTGTCTTTGTTTAGCAAATATTTGATAATTTTATTGAGTGGTCTAACAGTAATCAGTGCTGTGCTCGTACGTGTGAGGGCTGACGGAGCATGACATTTGGTCCTTGGCGACTTTGGTGTATTTTTTTTTATTATGGTAAAATACACAGTAACTTAAATTTTGCCATTTTTAAGAGTACAATTCAGTGGCGTTACATATTTTCACATTATTGCACAACCATCACCACTGTCCATCTCCAGACTTTTCCACCATCCGTCATTGAAACTTCCTACCCATTAATCACTCGCTTCTCTATCTCCTCTCTTCTGGTATATTTGTAAAGATAAGATTTACACATTGGAACACTTACACATAACTGTTTAATAACAACTACCAGATGCTTATATAAAGAATAAAAACTAGGCTGTGCACAGTGGCCCATGGCTGTAATCCTAGCCCTTTGGGAGGCCAAGGCAGGAGGATCCTTAAGCCCAGGAGTTCAAGCCCGAGCAACATAGCAAAAATACATCTCTACAACGTAAAAACCATCTCTACAAAAGAATTAAAAAATTAGTGGGGCATGGTGGTATACACCTGCTACTCTGGAAGCTGAAGTGGGAGGATTGCTTGAGCCCAGAAGTTGGAGGTTGCAGTGAGCTATGATGACACCCCTGTACTGCAGTTTGGGATAGCATGAGACCCTGTCTAGATAGATAGATAGATAGATAGGTAGGTAGATAGATAGATAAACAAGTAAGTAAAAATTATAGAAAGCCAAATAAGGAAAATCATTTTGGGTGAAAAATAAGGAAGAAAGAACTTACAAGAGAGTAGAACTTGAGCCTTAATTTGAGCAATAACTAAATACTGGCTGAGTGGAGAGGAGAGGGAAACAGCATGGCTGGCTAGAGAAATATTGTGAAAATCCTGTTGTGTGGGTTTGGGGGAGGCAAGGGAGGAAGGACTGGCAAGTGGACCACAGTTAAGTATTTACTGACCCTTTTTGGCACTGTTGGAACATCCTTACATCCAGTGTTTCTTGGGGCCCTGTCACTCACCCTCTGATGGAGAGAAGGGGGAACAAGTTCAGAGGTAGGAGCGCAGAAGGAGAAAGTAACCACAGCGGCCAGACCAGAATTCTGGTCTCCTGAAGCCCAGCTCTGTATTCTTGGATGTGTCTGCAGCTTGAGTGTATGTAAGGAGGAGACGGGTTTAACTGAAACTAAAGATGCCTATTCAAGTTTAGAGAGAAACTGGGATTGATAAAACAGGACCTACCAGGGTGAGAGTGGACTTTATTCTGCAAACAGTGCAGACCTTCTGAGGTTTTCTGAGCTAGGAAGACCCC